AAAAAAAAAAAGGAAAAGAGAATAAAAAAGGAACTTGTTGAATATTAATTGGAAAAAAACTTTAATTGGTTTTAGTTTTTCCTTTCAAAAAATCACCAAAACTGTTCAATGAACTACTAAAATTTCTGTTAGATTTTAAATGTTTATTATTCTGTTATAACACTTCAACAATTTATCAAGAAGTTTTTTTCGTGTAATGTTTCTTTCGTCTTTCCCTTTTTTTTTATTTTGTGAAGAGAAAATTGACTTTTTTTTGCTGCATTTTTTCTGACATTTAAATGGGAATAGAGGGTGATAGAAAATGTTAGCGGTTTTATTTGTTGCTTAGTGCTTGTCTGCTTTTTCTTATTTGCCTGTCTATAACATTTTCAACCCCGGTTACAGGATTCTGCAAACTGTGCTGATATCCTGCATTATCTGTGCCACCCTTTTTCATTTTTAAACCCAGCTTATGTTTGGCTGTAAATAGGGTTTCCTCACCGGAAAGTGCTGCAGTTTGATGTTAATGTAGTTCATTTTAGATGGGAAAAAAATGGAGTTTATTATTTTGATCTATTGCCATTGAAAGGCATGCAAAGTTGTAAGAAAAAAAATTGCTTATATATAGTGTGCTAATTAAGTGCCACCATTAGAACAGCAACAGCAATAATCATCTTTCAAGACGGATATCGTGCAAAAAAAAATCATAAAATTCAAGGAACTAAACAATTTCTCGTATTTCTTTCTTTTTTTTTTTTTTTTGCAAAAATTTTTTTCCATTTTTCAATTGTTACTTCTTTTTCCATGCTCATGCTCAATTCACTCCTTACCCTGGCTGCTGTTAACAGAATACTTTAAGAATTTCTTTTCAATTTCATATATCTGTTTGTTTGCCTGTTTTCCAAAAGCAGAAAAAAAGGGTGAAAAAAATTGGTTTTCTTCCTTAGTATTAACAGAAGAATAATTGAAGAAACGAAAAATTATTGACAGTGCAATATGTGAGCATTTTGTTCATTTGATCCATTTGCTTAAAACGGTAGTAAATTGCAGCAAAAAAAATTTTTTTCTGTTTTTTATTATATTAACAAAAAATTTTGGCAAAAATTTTTGGAAAATGAAAAAAATTTCCTTCCACTCTTCCTCGCCTCTTCAGCGTCCCTTCCTTTCACAATCCGCTTTTCTTCTTAACTATCGATTGTGCCCTCTACAACTGACGATGACTATTTGCAACAACTGTTTATGGTTAATATCTTTAAAACAATAATTGATAATTTAATAATCATCAAATTTTACTTGCAATAAGTACAGGGGTCAGCTGCAAAAAAAAAGAGAGAAAGGCTCCTTCAGTTTGAGATGGGAAGTATTATGAAACCATCAGCAACAATAAATTTTGCTGAACATTTCTATAGATGCCCCTTGATACCACCACCATTGTCAAAGAGTGCAAACGAGAAGAAGTGATTGAAAATTCAGAAAATATTTGGTCATGTTCTTCTTTATTTCTTCTTCTCCTCGTTTCTACTGTTTATTATCCTCCTTCAACAGTTAAGCGGATAATAAGTAAAATTGCAAATTTCAAAACATTTCAAGTGCAACTTTTGCAAACTACCAAGAAAATATTTGATGAAGTAAAGATTTGCACACAGACAAAACATCTAAAATCATCTTTTTAGGGCAGTAATACTAAAAAAATTTATTTTCGCTTATAGTAAATTGTATAGGCTTTGTTAAAAACCTAAAGTTTTATAATATACAATTTTTTATGGTCTGATTTTTTTTAATGTTTATGGAACTCCTTTTTTTTATTTTTATTTTGCTTCTTATCTTTTCAGTGATTTTCCTCCTTTGCCTGTCATTTTTTTCGACTCGAGTGATAGTGTTGAAAATAGAGATTTTGCTGTTTTTGCTGCTGTTTGATAGAAGTTTATGAAACGGATACTGTAAAATAATTGTATCCGACAAATTTGGCTATGGTACTGAAAGTACTAAGCTGTTTGATTTGCTCTAAATGAACAAATACATCCACGACGTACAAAACAATTTTTATTTTTGACGACAACATCTCCAGCACTACCGAAACCGAAAAAAAAGTTAGAAATGTGTTCTAACAGTTGACAATTTCAGTTGTTACGTTTGGCTGTATGGATATCGGGAGTTGTATTTAAAGTTGTACCATGTGTAATGCTCACAATATTTATATGCCTTCTTATGAAGATTCTAAATGAGGTAAAAAAGAATCGTATCCGTCTGGCATTAAATAACCACTGTGACAGCGGTACTTCATCATTCAGTCTTCCAAGTAATCAGCTTACCAAAACTCCAAGGTTTGAAAAAGTTTTTTTTCGTATGTCATTTGTCCGTTTCTTTGTGTTTGTTTGTCGATTTGCTTAAATGCACATACTTATTGTATAGATTAAAATACTGTTTAAGATTCTTTCTTTTTTCCTTGCTGCTGCTGAAAATTGAGGAGCTTTTTTTTGTTTTTGGTTTTATTTTACATTTATGAAATAAAATTTTTTTTTCAGTTTATTTATTGCCTTTTTAATGTGCTATCACTTTTTATTGTGCGTTGTTATTTTTGCTGAAAATTGTAAATCAGCATTGATTTGAGTTCCTTTTCTCTTTTAAGACCAAGTGAAAGCTAAAATTTTCAGTGCAAATTTTAGTGGTCATTGTCCGACAGCAACAACAACTCATTTAAAGACAAACGATCGAACAGATCGAACAACTCGAATGTTGTTGGCAATTGTCATTGTATTTTTATTAACCGAAATACCGCAGGGAATTTTGGCAATTTTATTAGGCGTATTTTCGGATGATTTTCGTTATAAAATATATATGAAAATTGGTGATATATTGGATTTATTATCACTGTGCAATGCTTGCACAACATTCATTATTTACTGCTCGATGAGTGGACAATTCCGAAGTGTAAGCAACGATCTAGCTAAAATTTTAAAATTTCTTTCCCTACCTCTGTTCTTCACTTTATTGTTTTTTTGTCATTGAACGGTCAATTATCTATCCAAAAAAAAAATGAGGAACACAAAAAACTTTGTCAAAATCTTAATACATTAAATTTAGTTAATAAGCTAAAGTGCGGTTTTCTTTTTTCAGGAATTTCAACGGGTATTTCTTCCTTTCCTAAGTCTTTTTCCTCCAGCAACTGCAGCGCGTCGTTCCTCAGAAGGTGCCACGGTATCCAAGCTATGCAGTATGAAACTGGAAGACGCTGAAAACGGTTGCACGGGCCGGGAACGAAGCGCCACAATGCGGTCTGCTATCAGTGTACCTGGTTACAGTTATACGAAGGATAACGGACATTTCACACCAGACGAGTTAGCTTTTTCGTTTACCATTCCACATTCTTTGTTCTGTATCCGTATGGATTTATGAGGGGTGGTAGACCTTTAAAAAACCTTAACTATACTTTCAACAGTAAAAAAAGGCTTTTTTTTGAAATGACAGCCTCATTGCTACCAAAAAACTTCTGGACTTGTAAAAGCTCTGAAGTACTTTATTATTAATCAGTATTTCTGTTTCAAAAAATTTAACTAAGGTTTTGCAAAAGGCGTAAAAAAATTAATTACGAATTAGAGTTCATCATTATGAGCTACAAAAAATAGAAATCTTGCATTTAGTACTTTAATTGGAGATTTTTGTGTTTTATTCAGCCACCAGTTTTTTTGGCCGAGAATTTCAAGTTTTTTGCAGCAGAATATATCGTTTGTCCGCCTGTACCCATGTTTTCGACAGACATTACCAAAGTTTTGCTGTAAAAAAAAAAGATGAATTTTGATTGAAAAGGAGAAAAACATTTTCTCTATTTTGAGAAAGTCAGAAAATAAAAAATTTTTTAGTTGTCTGACTAAAATCATTTGTGAATTGTCGAAGAACTAAAAGTACGGGAAATTTATTATCCGACAAGTGTTTCCAAAAAAAAAAAAACGCAGTCGCAGTAAAAGTTTTCGTAGTCTAATACTTAAGAATAAAAAATTGGACGAATCCTAGTCAATGGAACTTAGTATCGATTCCTGTAAGATGCAGCTTATAGAATACAATGCTGTAAAGGAAAAAGAAGAAACAAAAAGCATTTGGCAAGAAAAGCTTAACAAACTGCTTCTAGTATAGTATATCACAAAAAAAATAGTATTTTCAAAACCCGAATAACTTTAGGGGACGGAATCAGAATCTTAGTTCTGAGAAAAGTAGCAAAAACAATAGATAACATTGTTTCCCGTCTTGGATGAACCAAGTTGTCCTAGCAGCGCAACAGTATAAGGCTTCAAACTAGAAGCAGCCAGATAGAACATAGATCATTCTAATTCCAACTGTGGTCGTCAGGACTTTTCATATCTTAAAATTCCTTTTTGTTTACTTGTGTATCAGAAATTAACTCACTTAGATTTTCACCTTATTACCCAGTCAACAGATGACATACGGTGGAGACCATAGTATAATTTGATTTACCGCAAAAGTATGGAATAGAAAAGTAACTTGTCCAGATCCTAGCGATATTTCAAAACTTTTTTTCGTGTTTACCGATAATTCGGTCTCTTTTGTCGTTGACAGTTCATTCATTTCTTTACCGCTTTGCCTTAAACTGTTCATTATAAATTGATTGATGATCTAAATAAAAAAAAAGGTTTATCCTACAGGGGAAAAAACTTGTTTGTCTCACTGGGATAAAAAAAATTATGTATCGGTGACACGTCGATCAAAACTAAACCTTCTATTCTTACTTTTACTCGTGGAAAAAGCTTTTTTACTCACGAGAGGATTGCAGTCGCGGTTGTCGCTTTCAGTTCAGACTTTAGAGTAAAACTTAAAAAGCCATAGCTTTAACGGCAAATGATTTATATGGTAAACAAAAAAAAAGGGCAAAAAATGAAAAAGAAGGGAAAGAAGTAAAGAGAATCTTCTTCTTCGTTGTTTTCTTCATAGGGCAACTCTTTTCAAGAAATAAATTTTTCAGAGATAAAGATCAGCGACAAGCTTTGCTTGCAAGCGGCGGCAAATTTGAAGGGAATAATCAGCATCGAACAAAATTGGGCAACAAGTTTTTAGCTGTGAACGACGGACAGTGGCCATCAGAAAAAAGCCATCAATTACCAAACACGACAAATGCCAGAGATAACAGCGATAAACGGTACCGGGAATTTGCTGATATGGCAACTACTGAAACTCGAAGTGCCGATGATAATGCTAACGAAAAAACAGAACTGCTGAAACGAAGCGCCGATGGTAGCGGAAATGGTGCAGGTGGTGGTGGAGTTTACGAAAAAAAGACGGGGAAAATGTTGGAAGCACGGTATAGGGCGACAGACGTAAAACCAGATAAGAAATAATAGCGTTATCATAGGTGCCACAGAAATACTTCTTTCACCTCAGCTTTTTTTCCTGAAATTTTACCCCCTTTCTCCCTTCCGGTATCCCGCCTCTATCCTCTTCATCCCTCACCAATCATTTTATTTCTTTCTCAGTAAGAAATAACCGTAGAAAATTCTTGTTACTTATGCACATCAATTTGATATTGAAACGGGTTTATTTATGATAATAATAATTATAATTATGATCATGATAATGATAATGATAATGATATTGATAAGAATAAGAATATTAATATTGTATATATAAGCGCTACGAAAAAAGTAAAAAAAAGTAAATAAATTTTATTTGCTGTAGAAATACACAACAGTTTCATATCTTGAAGTAAGGTTCAAAGTAAAGACAGGGGAAGAGAGAGTGAAAAAAGAAACTGAGAAGGAAGAAAGCGAGTAAAGATCAAGAAAAAAGAAAGGTTATGCGAATAAGGAAGAGGTGAACCAAGAAAGACAGGAAACGAGAGAAGGAAAGATGGAAAGGAGTGAGTAATTTTGCTAACAGTTAAATTTACAGTTCGCCAACTGCACGTTATTTTATCTTCGTACTACCTGATAAAATGCATCTTGTGTATTTGAACTTTTGCTGTCTACACGAGCGCTATTTACTGCTTCGTCTTCTGTGACATATTACTTTAATCTGTGCTCTTTCAACTATGGAATGTACCAACTATCAA